ACTGCTGACCTCTGCACGTGCTGAGAAGGCATTCTGGGAAGCGGTGGATCCACAGAGAAGCTCCACTCGGGAGTGGTCTCTGGACCTGCAGAGACTTGCTCAAATGTAGGTCTCAGCCATGGCTGCCCAGGGTCTCTGGGCGACACCGACTCCTTAGAAATGCCCCAGTCAGCCTCAATGCTCTGTGGACCCACCGAGCCTTGCTGCTTACATTCCGGGCTCATCCACATCCTGCAGGTGTGTCTAACAGGCACCAGCTCCCCAGCATTGGGCCACGGTGCAGAAGTGCTCGCTGACTCTAGGCTCATCTGTGGCTGGAATTGAGGCTTTACCAAAGGCTGACAATGGCATCCAAGAGGAGGCTGCTCCACAAAAATGCCCTGCTCAACAGCAGTGCTTTCTGAGTAGATTGGCTGGACTTGAGGACTTGGGAGAGAGTATTTGCTGTACCTTGGCTCTGCAGAAGTGACCTCAGCAGCAGCACCCTCTGAACCTGTCATGCTTTGTTGGACTATACAGTTCATCAAGGGCTGGGGAAGATGTCCGGGAGGCAGCTGATCAGCAAAAAGGCCCCCTTCTTCCACAGCAGGCCTCTCTGGAGATGAGACAACTTGATGTTCTACTTGAGGGCTCACCCACTGCTGGAAAGAGCGTGAGGGATGCCCTAGGGCCATGTAAATTCTCGGCTCAGCAGAAGTGCTCTCTGGATACTCAGAGGCTTCTTCCTCAACTATTGGTCTTGCCAGGGGCTGAGAATATCTGGGAGGCAACATCTCCATAGAAATTTCTTCCATAGATGTAGTTACTGCACCTGAGGAGGATTTTTGCTCAGCTTTAGGATTCATTGGGTACTCAGAAATCATTCCGTGAATCAGTGGTTGGGTAAGACTGCCCCATTCAACAGCACTCTCTTCATCTGCGGGGACTGGCTGCACAAATTTAGGGTGCACCCATGGCTGGAAAAGATGGCCGGAAGTCACTGGCCCCTCAGAACCGTGCTGTCCTAGACAAATGCTCACAGAACTGGAGGAGACGTGTGGCTGAACAATAGGCCTCACAATGGACTGAACAGGGTGTTTGGAAGGCATCTGTACTTCCCAAGCATTCTCGGGAACTGAGGGCACTTCTTGCTGGTCTTCAGGTTTTTCCAAGGCCTGATTAGGGCATCTGAGAGGTAGCCCTTCCTCTGAGCTCTTCCAGTCCTCAGCACCATTGTGCTTTTTAACATAACCATTTGATCCTGGGGAAACGTCTTTATCCTCCGGCTTCAGGATTGCTTGGGAAGGTGCTGGGGGAGCCAGCTGCTCCACATCGGAACTTTCTGACTCTGAGGAGACTACTCCCTGCTTCCCCAAGGACTGGGAAGAGGGACCAGGACTCACTTCCTTTGAGCTACTGCCCGTGTCATCATTGCTCTCTGACTGTGGGGAGCCTTTTTCAGCTTCGGGCTCTCTCAAGAACTGGGAAGAATATCCAAGAGCCAACTGCTGCTCCACACTGTTCAATCCCACAACTACATTTTCTGATTCTTGGAAGACGTTTTGTTCATCTTTAGGCTTCTTCAAGCACTGGAAAGAAGGTCCAGCGGCCAGCTGTTTCTCAGAACCACTCTCTTTCTCTGGTGTACTCTTTGAATCTGGAGACACTTTTGCAGTTTCAGGCTTCTCCGTAGAAATGCCTCCCTCTTCTGTGGTACTTGTCACAGTTGAGATGCTCACGGTGCAGGCCTGGAGAACACTTCCGGGAGGCTCTTCTTTGCAGACAGTTGGGCCATTTTCTGTTTTTTCTTTGCAGACAGTAGGGACATTTTCTGTTTTAGAGCAGATGTCTTGCAAACCAAGGCTGGAAGCTTCTTCTGATTGGACAGGAGAAGGAGCCCGAAGCACCTGAGCCTCTGTTGTTATTAAAACAATGGCCTCTTTGGGGGTTGTAGAAGGTCTTCGCACCGCTGGCAAAAGAGAAGTTCTGAATTCTGTCTTTTTACCCACAGAAGCCCCATCTTCAGGGTTTGGTGGTGGACCGCTAACCATAGACTCTTTCACATCTTCAGGGACGGATTGTGGTACTTCAAAATCTACACTAGCATTTCTCCCCATATCCCTTGTATTTGAAAGCAGCTCCTGAAAGATACTGATTTCTGCTTCTGAAGTTGTCAGCTGCTCCAGGGCTTGCTTCTCTGTGTACAGGGACCACAAAGGGCCATTGCTGGCAGTCTTCTTAGTAGATGAAGACTCAGGTCCGTCGCCCAGGCCATGCTTTTGACTGGACTGTATAAAGCTTTTTCCTTTCGATGCGTACACATTTGTTAGCGAAACGCACATTCCTATCCTTTCACGTCTTGGGCCATGTGCAGCTGACACTGGGTTACTTGGGTTCCCGGCAGCGCTAGTGTTTGTACTCTTATCCGTTGTCTTTTGATCATAAATCTCAGAATTGTCGCTCTGTTCCTGGCCAGAGTGGCCTGTGCCAAACAGAAAGAAAAAATGAGAAGTGTGTATGCTCTAGCCTTCCTAAATCAAAAACACTCTGCCCTAGCGCAATGGCTACCTACTTGCTGCTCAATTCCGTAGTATGAAGAAGCAGCTTCTCAGAAGGCAGAGAGCAACCTGCCTATTTAAACTTTCTGCCGTTGGAAAACTTTAACTCAAAGGTAAATTTAAATTCCATAAACTGATTCCAGGGTTGGCTCAGCATTTCATAATTAGTGCGCTTCACCATTAGATATGAGACACATCGAGAGACAAATTGCGAGCTGGGCCTGGTGGTGCACACGTATAATCCCAGCATTCTGGGAGACCGAGGCAGGAAGCTAGTAAATCCACGCCCAGCGTAGGCAATTTAGAGAGACCTGGTGAGACCTCGTCTAAAAATAAGAAATAAACAAGGCCTGGAGATGTAGCTCAGTGTGAAGGCCCTGGGTTCAATTCCCAGTACAAGGGAACTGGGGGCTGGGGGTCAATTTTAAACTCAGAACAATGATTATATTTGATGAAACTCACTGGGGCAGGAAGAAGGGATATTTTTATTTTCCGATCAGGATTTCTAGATTCTACTTGATATTTATCCGAACTACTTGAAATCCCCTATCATGCGCTTCTATGCTTTAATTTTTAGAGGTGTCAACAGGAATTGTCTGGAGGGTAGGATTATGGCCCCCTTTTCGTTTATTTTCTACTCCTGTGAGTTGTAGTAACCCTATGTAGTGTACACGCAAAGCAATACTTGATCGTCTTAACAACTGCATCAGTCCACAGGCTTTAAGGCAAACACACAAGATAGCAGCCATGCAGATTGATGCCTAGATGGGAGGGCCCCTCCTTGCTTTTCTTTCTTCACCATCCATTGTATCCCTGCCTCCATCTGGTGGTTCCATATGGGAATACAGCATTGAGAAGAGAGGGCTGCACGCCAACCATTCATTCCCCTCATGGAACGCCAACCAAAACATCTGCCTCCATTGAGTATTGATTCAGTACTACTCAGTATCAAAGACAGCTATTAAAAATAAATCAGACAAAATACTAATCGTTTAATCTTCCTTTCTCCTTCCCTCCTTCCTTCCTTTCCAGGACAGTTTTGTGGCTCTGCTTTCATAGGAACATATGCTCAGGAATATCCTGTGTCTGAATCCACATGTGAAATCTTTTGTGGCAAAAAGTTGAAATATATTGCTTTAAATTAGCTTGCCATTAGCTGGAGCCAACATAAACACACACACACACACACACACACACACA